ATGAATGGGACGTTTTAAGAATCAAATCCCTATGCACATCCAAAAACTTCTGCAACAGGGTAAAAAGGGAAGCCACAGACTGGAAAAAGTATTTTGTAATGATATGTCAGATAAGGGACTTATATCTAGAATTTATAAAATACTTGAACACCATAACAAGATAAAGGTAAATAATCTGATTGAAAAATGGGCACAGGATATGAACAGACACTTCACCAAAGAAGACATTCAGATGGCCAACAAGAACGTGAAGAAATGTTCAAAATCCCTAGCTCTGAGAGAGATGCAAATCAAGACAACTATGAGATATCATCTCACCCCAGTAAGACTAGCAAAATTGAACAGAATAGCAAGCAACAAATGCTGGCCAGGTTGTGGAGAGACTGGAACCCTTTTTCACTGTTGGTGGAAGTGTAAAATGGTGCAACTACTGTGGAAAATGGTGTGGCGCTATCTCAAAAAGTTGCAAATAGAGATACCGTTCGACCCAGCAATTCCACTACTGGGAATATACCCTAAAGAGATCATAACCGCCATCCAAGCAGATATATGCTCACCCATGTTTATTGCGGCTTTGTTCACATTAGCAAGGAGTTGGAAACAACCTATGTGCCCATCCACAAATGAGTGGATAGAGAAGCTGTGGTATATTCACAAAATGGAATACTACGCTGCATTGAAAAACAAGGAACTCGTGCAATATTATTCAAAATGCGTTATCCTGGAGGACATTATGCTGAGTGATATATCTCAGTCACAGAAAAACAAATACTGCCCAGTGCCACTGTTGTAGAATGGGACTGACATAAAGGTTGGGGTACAACTGAGAAAAACTGGATAAATTATGTATACTGCGTTGAATCAGATGAGGGAAAGAACAGTTTAAAAGCGATATATGATAGGGTATTATGGCTATCACAAGAGTCCAGAATTAAGGTTGCATAGTGGAGTGGACTCAGGGTGGGGTGGTGAGGATTATATACTAATGAAGGAGTTTTGCTTTTCGAAGAGAAGAGTGAACTGGAGGGAGGGGTCAGGGAGAAAAGTGCAACAATAAATGAATGAAAATCCAAAATCTCTGTAAATGTTCATTAAAATCAATAAAATAAATTTTTTAAAATGTACCATTTTAGCCATTTTAAAGTAAATTTCAAAGATACTGTATTTACCTTGTTAAGATACTCACCACTATTCATTTCCAAAGATTTTACATCACCCCAAGTGGCAATGCTGTTTTTAATTTTAAGCTTTAGCCACACCTTCCCCCTCCTGCCCCTGCTGGTTTGCTTCTCCCACCTGCCCCTCGTAAGAAACTTTGGTCCTGATGCATTTGCCTATTCTAGTTATTGCCTGTAAACAGAAGCTACAGGGTTTGTTATTTGTGATTAAGTGATTGTATTAAGCATGGTTCATACATCTTATCCTGTGCATCAAGAGGTCATTTCCCTCTACGGTTGAATATTAATTAGTCTGTGGTGTGAACAGGCCACATTTTGTTTATGCATTCATCTGTAAATGGCAAAATTTTATTAAGCAGGTTTTTACTTGTTGCCATCGAGTCTCTTGCAACTCATAGCGACCCTATGTACAAGAACCCTAAATGCCGTTCTATCCTGTGCCAACCTCGCTGTCTCAAACACAGTCATTCCCTCCACCCCAATCACAGAATCTGTCCATCTCATCGAGTGTCTTCCTCTCTTGCACCGTCCCTCCACTCTCTCAAACATGATGTCCCTCTCCAAGGACCAGTCCCTCCTTGTAACATGCCCAAGTATGTCAGACGAAGCTTCAGAATCCTTGACTCAAAGAAACATTCCAGCTTTACCCTCTCCAGGACAACCTGTTTGTTCTCCTAGCAGTCCATGGTATATTCCACACTCTTCTTCAGCACCACAGCTCAAAGGCATCAATTCTCTTTCTTACCCCTATTCACTGTCCAACTCTCCGATGCATAGCATGTACTTGCAAAGACTATAGCCTGAATCAGGTGTACCTTAGTCTCCAGCCTCACTTCGTTGCTCCTTAGTACTCTTGAGAGGTCCCTCACAACTGACTTTCCCAGTGCAATTGGTCTGCTAATTTCCTGACTGCTGTTACCAAGAGTGGTGACTGTGGAACCAAGTAAACTAAAACTTAACTATCTCAATCTCTTCACCATCCATACTGATGCTGACAATTAGCCCAGTGGTGAGAATCTTTGTTTTCTTGATGTTGAGCTTCAATCCATATAGGAGGTTGCAGTCCTTGACCTTCTGCAGCAAGCACTTCAGGTCCTCCTCAGTTTCAGCAAGCAGGGTTGTGTCATCTGTATAATGTACGTTGTTGACGACTCTTCCA